CACAGAACAGTAAATAAAGAAGTAAAGCAAACAATTATCTCTTCTAGTTGCTTGATGTAGGTTGCTAAGCCTTTTAAAAATTTGCACGTGTAGGATACGAAACAAAATAATTTTTTAGGTTTTATATGTACAGTTGTATTATCAAGAAATCGTAAGTTACTATATCAGTACCATAGATTTCCACTATAATTTATCAAGCTTATCAACTAAGCTGTATTTCAGTCTACAAAAAATATGAAATTTTGAGCAGATCAAAGACACAACCTATCTCATTTAAATCTTGGTTTGAAAGAAAGGTAAGCCATCTAAAGACGTTAAAATGGCTGAGAAAGCCACTAGGGGGACATTCTGCGCTTCCGATTGGTTAATTATGTCATATAGAAGTAAGTGTATATAAGGGAGCATTTCCAAAAATGGAAAGAGTTAGGCGGTGTGTCACAGTGTGTGATTTATTACATGAGCAATATCTTGGCAAATAAAAAAGATAAGACCTTATTTTATATTCTGGCTTGTCAAAATTGGTAATTTGAATTTCTAATTCATACAAAACTGTAGACTTAGTATTTTGACATCACAAACATCTAATTTGAACCAGTGCTGCATTCAACATACCAGGTGACACACAAAGAATCGATGTTTAACTGTGTTTTCTTAATGTTTACTTTCATATTAAGAAACTGAGTAAGGTATAATACTAAAATTTGACATATAATCAACAGTTTGATACCAAAATTATTGACATGAATTCATGAAATAGTAGTTCAATAAAATTCTGAATGAGAGTCAACAAATGCAATGACATGGCTTTTCACCCATGACCATTCTGAAAAAGGTTAAGCTGCATGAAGTTAGAACTAAATCTTTTTTTTTTCATATTTGCCGTAATGATTAATATTAATGTTTAGTTTTAATTGATTCACTGCTGTAGAGAATTAACAAAAACAATTTCCTTCACTTTTGAATGTTTCAGCTTTTTTTCCTTGGATTAAAAAGTTTACTAAAGTGATTTTGTTATAATAAATTATCAAATTTTTCATTTTAAATCGGGGGATATTTTTCCCACTTACACTTTGAATTTTTTTTTCCTAGGCACCATCAGTATTTACTTTGGAGCTGAGCTAAGCCAACTGTACGATGATTTTTCTCGATCACTAGCTCGCTTTCTGCATAACCTTATGGCCACTAAAACACTATCAGATGGTCTGCAGGTAAAATTTACCAAAAATATAACTTTCTCACTATGTTTGTGTGTGTATTTACACACCTGCACATAATATAGTGTATATTTTCTGTTTATTTTAGAAGAACAATAACTTTAAGTTGTCAAGTTAAACAGTTTTGTTTTTATTCTGTTGTCTGTTTGTCAAAATGAGCTCATTTGCTGATGAAATATGAAATTATAAGATTTTGTGTATAATAAGATTTAAACCCTTTCTTAGTTGAGACAAGCTTATTGTTTAGTATAGCAAGTACATTATTATGTGTACGTTTTATATAAATCTCATGCTATTCGTACATAGCACAGTGACTTTATTTTTGAGATTAATCACTTATAAAGTATTGAGACCATAGTGGTCACTTAGGGCCTCTCCCATCTGTGTACCTAAGTCAAACTTAGGGCCCCCACAGTGGCACAGCCGTATGTCTGCGGACTTACAACACTAGAATCCGGGTTTCGATACCTGTGGTGGGCAGAGCACAGATAGCCAATTGTGTAGCTGTGTGCTTAATTACAAACAAACAAACTTTCAAGATAGAACAGGATGAGGCTAGCCAATTTCACAGAAATGTAAAAAGTATGAAGATATAAATATCAATTGAGAACAAATTGTAAAATAATTAATATGAATTATATTTTAAAAATTTTTAAGTTGTTATCAGATTAAGCTATGACATATAATATTAAAAAGCATATCAGATGAAAAAGTTAAACGCATCTAAATTGATGTGAAACTTCTTTAAGCTTGTTAAACAGTGGTGTTAACCACTGAATTTCATCAGTCTTTTCTTTTTAATGCAAACATTATTTGTTTTGTTTTTGATGATAATTTTTCTTACTTGTATATAATGGGACTGCTATTCACGGAAAATTTTTTGTGTTGTGGGTTGATTCCCAGACAAAGTTTCTTGGTACTGTATCTTTCTTTTTTTTTCAAATTCTAAATAGATATTTGAAACCCTTCACATACCAAGAATCTCAATTGTACACCATTGTGTCTGAAATTTTCCCTAGTTTCCAGGCTGTGATATTGTAAAATTCATTTTGCATTCCTAAATCTCACACAAACACTGTAATGATCACAAAACATAACCTGATTCCTTAACACTATAAAGCTATGTTCTCTGCAATTTTCATGAGTTTTGTTGATAGAGTGAATCATGGAAGGCTCAACAAAGCTTCTATTATAAGGTGACTAAGTGCAGTACCTGCCTGAACAAGAACGCTGGCTATTTTGTTGCCAGCCGCCTAAACTCGGAATCTTTGTGACCAGTCATTATAGAGGAATGAGTTTTTTGGGCATAAAGATTGAGCTCTTTATCCGAGTACTTTCATTTTTCAGAATATTTTCAATATTAAATATTACAGGTCAAAACATATTTGAATCAACACAATTTATTGAATTTATTAAAAGGAAGGGGGTATGGGTTGGGCTTTACTCCATCATAACCTGGAAACTAGTTTGAATTTGGATATGCTTGTGGGCAATTCATATTTTAGATATTGCAGGGAGTTCAAAACTGTATTCAGAATTAAAGAAAAGGGAGTACTGGACCACTTTATTTGGGAATCGACCCACCACAAATGTCTTCCTGTATTACAGACTGGGGGTTAATTCATTTTATAATTTACTATTCTGTTTGTTTTTGTTTTTTTTAAGTAGATAATATTTGTTTTAAGAATTCACAAACGGATATCTGAGTAGTATTTAAATCAAAGTTTTTCAAGTAAATATCAGTTCGTGGGTTTACAAAAAAGTGAAAAGTGTTCTATTGATTTATTGCTATTATTAACAGGGTTAACATATTTGGCATTATTTAAAATTGCTTATTATACTGTAACTCCATTATTAGAATGTGCTGCTAGCCCAGATGGGAGTTAATCCTTGGAATCAAGAAGATTGGCCTTTACAAGTGTACAGTAGAACATTATCAATCTTAGCTCAGGTAAGGAACTTTTAATCTCATTTAAAGTTGTAAGTTGATGGAAAGCTTTTATGTATTGTATATTGAGGAAAGTCTATAATTCCTTCTTATTTTTTAAGAGCTTTAAGGTATTAAATTTGTAAGGAGTTTGTGGGTTAAGAAACGAGTTGAGCATCTTGTAATTATTGGAATTGTGCTCTGTAAGAGGTATTTTTCTTATAATTTAATGTTTATGAACTGATATATAACTTTCCATATGGGGTAGCTGGATGTGACAGAGTAACAATCAGTTTCCATACTATAACTTTTAATATGTTATATGTAGCTTTAAAAAAATTTGCAAGCTTTCAGTAAGTTTTGTACATAAAAAAAATAAAATAATAATAATAATATTTTTAGATTAATTATTTTTACTAAAAATTTATCCATGAATATATAGCCAGTGTTAACTGCTCCAAGATTAAAAATACTTTTCTTCATCTGAAAATTTTCAGATTTCATTTGCATAACCTCTTTAAATAAGTATCAATCATTATTTTTTCCAGTAAAACTATATTTAATCTATTTTCTCTACCCTAACTCTTTACAGACTCACTCCATTTGACCAACTTTGTAACTACCATATAAAGTATGAAATAAATCTAAATTACCTTTTTTTTTCTTTCTAAAATGACTACAAATTGTACCAAAAAACTACATTTTTTTTTATCTTAAGTAGACTCTTTATACTTAATTTCATTGTTTTATGGCCCTTTTGAACCATGTCTAATAATCCTGCCTCACAAGTTGTAAATCACTCTGCAAACTCGTAACTCCTGTTACCGTATTGAATGATTTAATGCATGGGCTGCTTGCGAGCATGGCCCGTGAAGAATTTTTATTCTTATCTTTTTCATGATCTTACCTAATCTAACTTTATCTAACCTAATAAGTTTTTGATTTTTGTACATTTTAGTTTGTTTTGTAATTATAAATAATAATAATAAAGTACATGAAAACCAAGAAATAAATTATAATACTTACGTTTGACCTCTTATTTCTTACTGTCAGTTGTCGATGAACGTAGAATGATAATGTGCACAAGGCAAACAATGTTTTATAACTTATATTTTAACTGGCTTTTTAACTAGGACTAGAGGAACTTGTTTAATTTACTTTTCTGCTTGGTATGAACACCACGAGATAAACTTTCAAACTGAAGACAAAATTGACACTACTCTGTACTTAAAACAACATAGCACTAGACTTCATTTGATAGATTTAAACTTTGACTTTCTATTGGTTATAAATTATGTAGTATAAAACATTAGTAAGAACTGTTGGTAATTTGTGAAAGATGGGACATGACAGGTGGCATAGCAAGTGAGTCTGATTTTCTAGTTTATGACTCCGTAAACAAACAACATTGAAGTCTATAAAAATTAGACTTTACCTTAGTAATATCTATATTATTATTATTAGTTTACATTAAATTCCATACTTCGGAGAGGGGTGGTAAATAAATTAGATGTCAATTATTATTCTAGGGAAGATTAAGGTTTTTTTTTAAATATTTCCTTATAAATGTAAGAAATTAAGACCTAAATGATACTAAAATTTGGTTTATTAACTACGTTTTGATGACAATTTTATTCGTATGCATTAATAATAAAGTAGTTTAATTACATTTTGAATTGTAACTCTAGAAATTTGTGACACCTGCACTTTGACCTACCCTGACAACTGTGGATAACGTATCAAACTGGTTTTAAAGAGTTTATTCTGCTCTGTAGGTTCTTTTACTCAGGCAACAAAGGGAGAAGGATGAGCTCCGAAGTGAAAGTGAAGCAGCTTGTTCTTTAATTTTGCAGCGATTTTTAAATACTTTGAAGAAAGTAATCTTGACACCTGGCAGTGTATCTATAATAGAAGAAGGAGAAGGTATTTTACTGATAATATGAAATATACATGAAAGTGTATATAATGTGAGTCACTGGGGTCGAGAGAGTCAAATCAAATATACCAAACAAAAATATATGGCTAGTTGGAAGGATTTTAAAAAAGTGTTAAATCCATGAAGTCTGAAGGTTATAATTTAAGTCTGAATTTAAGATTTTTAAAAATACATGGTTTTATTATATGATTATATAAAGAAAGTTGATATTTAAAAAAAAATTAATATATTTCAGAGAGAAAAAGTTGTTGGGATTGTGAAGTATAAAAGACACATTCTATATGAACTTATTCAAAGCCATGAGAAGATGGGAGGTTTAGATTTTATATCATGACCTGTCAATATCTATAGTTTGAGTTTATGATTGGTTGACTTTTCTCACAATGTTAGAAGGAAATGGAGAAAACCAAAATCTAAGAGAATTGGAGGGGAGATGCATCACATGACAAACAAAGTCAAGCTTAAAAGTTCATTTAAGTATTTCCTTTTGAAATTAAAACGTGGATAATCACTTTTACCAGTCTTAGTTGTTGTGAATAATTAAATGTATACATTTTCCTGTAGATGTGAATGTTGAGCATGCCCAGCTGTTGTTGTTCCTTTTCCACAACCTTCAGTTAATGCAGAAAAAGAAAATACTTTTACTAACTGGACAAACCATATTGGATGTGGCTCCTATTGTTGAGAGGTAAAAAGAGTTGTTTTTTGTTTTATTTCTGTGTTTTAATTTATCACGTACTATTTTACCACTGATATATTAATGTGTGTACTTTCATCTGTTCTGTTTTAGCCCAAAGAAAGACTTCCAAATTATATACCTTAGTCGACTGCTTCTCATATTTGAGTACATGATGAAAAACTTGTATGATGCTCCTTCGTCTCTTATTGATCAGGTGTGTACTCAGTTTCAATTGTAGGTTCTGCTGTTACTTTAAAATTTTTATCTTCCTGAATTTTATATTTTATTTCACACTCATTTTCTTTGAATTTTTTCCCCATTGTATTGCAGGTCTATAAAAGTCACTTTAGGACATTACTTATTCCTCATACTTTCTTCTTTTTTTTCACAGGTGACAGTAAACTTATTCAGTTCACTGACAGGTCCAACCATTTCAGAAAAAGATAACACCAGAGGGCACTCTCGAATGTTTTTTGCCTGTCAAGAGTTGGAAGAAAACTACTCTAAAAATCTTCCCTCGGATGATGTTCCAGGTATTGTTATCATCTTCAATCTTCTACTGTGAGGGAAACGGACCTTAAGGGTTCCAGAAATAGATAATTCATGTTAAAAAGTAGAAAAATATTCTACTCTTGAATGTTATGCAATTCATTTTGTGTGTGTAAATAAATGGAGATTAAGCCATGTAAAGATACTCTAATCTTGGCTAATTGGTCTGCAGAAGTTGAGGATATTACACTAAAACAATTATGGAGCCCTATCACGTCATTATAATCCATGTCGTCGTGTTAGGCCATGTTTTATCTGATAACCATACATCTTGACAGTAACTGTGTAAAGACTATGGTTTTTCTAGGGCAAATTTCATAACAAAAACCCATAGGTGCTACATCCAATGACTTGACTGGTATGTATTTGTGTGGAATAGCATCACTACTCATTTCATTCTCCAGATGCTTCAGGTATGAAACAGTTTAATGAGAGGTATCGTTAGAAGCCTGTTTTTGGTGAACATATACCTTGTTGGAGATCTTTCTTGATTATCTTGTACTGTTGCCTGAGGAACAGGGGAGCTTATGCCATTGACTTTTATGCTCTTGTCTGTTTAACGATGCCACAATTTGCAGATCACAACTTGGGTATGACTTGTTTTTGTCTCTTCGTGGATAGTCCTAGTACCCTAAATTGTTGTCACGATCCTTTCTTTTCCAATGCTTTGAAGTAAGGGATATCCTTATTTTGGAAATTCTATATTCTCGATCTGAACACATCTTTATGATCTGAGAGCACGAATATTTTGCATCTAAAAATGCTGGTACACACCCTACCCAAAAATGATAAATTTTGTTGGCATCATATAAAATGTCAAACAATGTCAAAATATAATTCGGATACATTCTATCCCACTGTGACATTATATTGCATGGTTGTCATCTGACTTGCTGATTTACATAGTCACAATAATTTTAATGTTATGTACTCTACCCTGTATAGCTGTGTGTGTGTGTGTGCACAAATAAATCAAAAGGAATAGTTTATGACACGTGGGAGAAGTATGTATTTCTGTTGGTGTACGTGTGTCTTGTAAGTTTGTTAGCATCATTACTCTGTGCAAGTGCATTTTTTTAGGAGTTTGAGAAAAATCTGGGAAATAACTCAGTCTTATCTTTTTGAAATACCTAAATAAAATATAAAAATGGATTACGTACATTGTTCAATAGCAGTGCATTCATATTTTTTCTGAGATCATTGATCGTTTTGCATTTTGAAGTCTGTCTGACTTAAAAAAAAGAATATCAACTGAAATAATCATAAAAGTTCTTAGTCCATTAAATTTTATTTCTAAAGTGCTTGTACTGAATATTAAAATACGACATATTGTTTACAGTCTTTTCTACACACACATATATGTGCACACACTCCAACTTTCAAAAGGCATGTTATCCAAAAACAAAATTACAAAAAGGAGATTTTAGATTATGGAAGTATTTAACAAAATAAGCACATAAATCAAACATCATTATTATAGCTCATCCCCAGTAGCTCAGTGGTAAGCTTGAGGGCTTTTAATGCAAATTGTTTGGGGTTTGCTTTCCATAGGAAAAAGAGTACATTCAACATTCAGCCCATTGTGTAGCTTTGTTCTTAACAACAAACAAACAGTCATTATAATGAAAGCTGTTTTTGCTCTGTACTTTTTCTAATATAATGAAATATTGTATGATTTAAAAAACAAACATTTATTGCATTATACTCTACAAATCATCATGCATGCATTGTTTTGCAGTGTGTGTCATGAAACCGAGGTTTTACAACCTTACCAATGTGGATATTAACACCCAAGATGTTCCTAAGTTGGATGGTTTTGTAAGTATAATTTTAGCTTTTTTTTAAATTATGTTTAGTATTGAACTGGATGAGTTCAAAATATCATGTTTGTTAAAAGATATTATAGTTGTTTGGAGAAATAAATGTTGACTTTTTTTTAGATATCAAATTGTAAAAATGTAAAATTATTATTTTGTATTAGAAAGTAGTTTAAACTTTGTAAATATTTGCTGACAGAGCTTAAAAGTTAAATTTTCCTTATTTTCCATCAAAGTAATATTTGTTTGTTGATGTGAAAAGTTGACTGATAACTTAAAAATTATTTGTTGACTTTTATTGGTTGGTGTTGGAACTTGACTAAGTTTTCCTAAAATCATTTAGTATATTTCGTGTTAAAGGTATGAAAGTTTACTATTAAAAATAACATTTCACAATACTGTGTTTTTGTTTTCAAGGCTTGCAGTTTCACATTGGGAACTCCTGATGTCCTGAAGTATTCTGCTTTATATTCGGCCTTATCATCTCTGTTGACTGTAACAAGGCAGTGTGACATATCTGAAAAGCTATCATTCCTGGTAAGCCCTTACCAGTGTGCATGTCTTTCCCTCATCAAGAGCAGATTGATGTTGTAATAAAGTATTGTTTTTAAGGAAATTAAGAATATTTTAACTTGGGTCATTTATTTTAACATATTTATTATCTGATTTGTTTACATTTTTGTTATTCAAGCATTCTGATTGTGTGGATGCTCGACTTCCAGTGTGCAAGTTTTGGGATTGAAACCTCTCGGTGAACATGCTCACACTAACAGTTGGGGGACATTATAATGTGAAGGTCAATCCCACTATTTGTTTGTAAAGTGTAGGCTAAGAGTTGATAGTGATTAGATGTTTTCCTTCTAGTTATATATATATATATATATATATATATATATATATATCACTTGTAAGTTAGGAACAGCTAGTGCAGATAGCCCTCGAGTAGCTTTGTACAAAGTTCAACAACACCAAACAGATTGTTTTCAATTTTATATTGTAATCAAATACAATGAAACCAATGAGATAAAAGGTGTCTTATAAAATAGTTAATTTTAAGTTTATTTATGTTGTAAAAAAAAATTTTGTTAAACAATTCATATTTGTGATTATCAAATAATTAACAGAATATTTAAAATTTCCTTGAATTTTTTTTAACATGCTCGTATTAAAAACTATTTTGTTAAATGTCATTGTTCATTGACCTGGAGAAAGGTAAACACTTACAGGAGTATGGAAGGTAAAATGAATACTTACAGTAAGAGAGAATGTAATGAAATTGTCTGTAAAGAGGATGAAGACCAATAATGAAAAGGGGAAAACGTTTTTATCTCTTCTTTCTTTCTTTTTTTGTTTTCTTTTGCACATAGTTGCATAACATTTTGTCATGTTATTGAAAAGAAATAGCTCTGAGTTCTTTCTTTTGATATTGCCACAAGTACAAGATTGTACTTGATTGATTACTACCAGTTGGGCTATAAGGAAAAATACTAAAACAAAAAAATCCTAAGTATCTAGAAGGAAGAATGTGAAATTGTCTGAACACTCAAATTTTGCAGCTGTAGTGTAAAAGGAAACGGGAAAAATGGATGCTTTAGGGTTATTTTTTTCATCTATATTTGATTGGACCATCTATAGATATGAGAATCATGTATGCTATTATTTAACAGGAAACAGAGAAAAATATTAATTTTCTCTGCAATTAATCCTTTCTGTATACACTTACAAGATTTTAGAGATACTTTAAACGAAGATTTAAAAATCTCCGAAATTGGAGGGGGTGGAGTGGGGAAAAGCACTGTAACTTTTAGATACTGCAATAGCATTGAAAGTTGAAATATTTTTGTAAAAACAAAAATAAAATTGATGTTCTTGTTAAGAGTAATTAAATGACTGTGAGAGACATACAGTAAGTTTGATCTCAGGGCTGTCCTATACAATATAATGCCTAACATAGCCAGCTGGTTAGGGCTCTTGATTCATAATCTGCAGGTTGCGGGTACAGTTCCCCATTCCACCAAACATACTTGCCATTTTAGCCGTGGGGTTGTTATAATGTGACAGTTGATCCTACTATTTGTTGGTAAAAGAATAGCCCAAAAGTTGGTGGTGGGTGATTATGACTAGCTGCCTTCCCGTTAGTCCATCACTTCTAAATTAGGGATGGCTAGTGGAGATAGCCCTTATGTAGCTTTGTATGAAATTCAAAACAAACCAAACAAATAGTATAAATTGGTTAAATACTCAAGACCTTTCGAAAGGTGAATCTTTCTTCTTCAGTTTACCCCTGAAGAAGAAAGGTCCACCTTTTGCAAGCACTCTGGTTATAGGGTATCGATATCTTTATGTTAAATTGATATCTTGAACTGATATGTTTTTCTAAAATGCTGACTTCCTTTTATAGCAGCACATCCTCTGAATAACTGCTAATTAAATAATAATAAAGAAAAAAAGGATTAGAATTATTAGCCAGTTGTACACTTGAACATTTAAAAAAAATTATTTATCTTTTTTGTAAAAGCAGGTCTTTCATTATGCAGCTACACATTTGATTAATATCCATTCATTGAAGTTCAGTGGATAACATTGTTTTTTTAATTAATAGGGTGTATGTGCAGTACAGTACACCTTCTCGTGTGTATGGAGGTTGCTGCTGTGTCTTCCACCTTCAGTGTCTTCACTAGAGTCACTTGCCACAAGCAGTCAAAGTTTGGCTCCTTCACAATTGCTCATGTCTGCTGTATGGAGTCCCCGATGTAATCAACAAGTGTTTTTCTATGGTTGGATCAAGGTCGGTGATCTCTTTATATACCAGACTTTCGTCTTTTAGTGGTTTATATAAAACTTTTTAAATGCAATTGTAATATCAAAAGATTACTTGAAATTAAAAAGCATTGTTATATACAGATATTTTAATTATTTTTGTTATTTATTATATTCCCCCCCCAACTGTCTAATAATATAGGAAACGTGTAATTGAACAAGGTTGTTGGGGGGGGGGGTCTTTGACTTGATATAATCACTTGTAGTTATATCTGGTAATGGTTTGATCTAATTAAAATAGTTAAGCAACTAAAAGGCTGGGCCAACTTTCTTTCATGTTTTGAATTAGTATAATATCTACATGTAAAGATACGTTGCTGTCTCAAAATGGTGAAATTATCATGTTGTTGATGTCACTTCACACTGTAATTGACAAATTTACCAAAACTTTTTTTGTCTTTTGTGGTTTCCATTAAATATGCATTAAAGTAAAGCACCAGCTAAATTTTCTTAATTATATGTCTGAATCCAGATGTGTCTAGCAGTTAATATTCTGGACTGTGAATCTGAGGGTTTACCAGATGTCACAAAATCACTTTCTGCACATACTAACCACAGTTGCATTATGACCATGATGATCAAATCTCACTATTCAGTTAAGAGTGATCCAAAAGTTAGAGGTTGAAATTGTTGACTAGCTACCTTTCTTGTAGTCTATTAGCTCAAAATTCGGGACAAATAGCTTTAGTGTAACTTTGTGCAGATATCTGAAACAAATAGTTATGTTTGCTTTACTATCATCCCTACTATTCTTAACAGGAGTTGCTTCTGAATTGTTTATGATGTAAGTGATCTTAATGATGAACTTTTTTTACTCAGTGAAGTACTTTTTAAAAAGCCTGTTTTTTTTTAGGATGCTCTTGTGAAACAGGGACTCACAACACAGAAAGCTGAAGCTTTGCTTCGATCAGTGACTAAAAATACTGGAAATGTACGATACGATATCAAGATAGTCAAAGAATTCATTAACAAACAGGTTTGCACATCTTGTATTGCATTATTTTCAATTTCTTGTATTTTCTTGAAATTTGGTATTAAATATTGAATTATTTTATGTACGTTTAAATACTTATTTTTAGTTCATGTTTAATGAAAATCTAAATTAAAGACAAAAACTTACAGGTAACAAATTTCGTTTTATAGAGGGATATTATATAGATATATTTGAATATGAACCACAGTAACTTTTTTCTGACTGAAACATTACTATTACTCTTCTTGTTTACTTTTTTTTAACTTCAGTTGACTGAAGGTCCTGTGTCATTAAATGGACCAATATTCAAAGATGATCTTCCTGAGCTACTGGATATGATTACTTTAGAAGCAATAGTAGCCAAACTTCAGATGGGACTTGATGCTTGTTTTGCTAAACCCAAGGTAGTTTTGTGTTATACTTTGTATCATTAGGATTGTAAGTGTTTATTTTAACAACAATTGAATAGGAATTTAAAATTTAAGGTTGAATATTACAACTGTTGACCCTCAAATTACACAATTGTTTACATACCGTTCACTAATGGTCATGAACATACAATTTCTTATTTCGAATATGTGTGTAGATAAAAGAAATGAAATTAAATCAGTTATTTTCTACATAAAACACATGGGATCCCAGCAATATTTAGTGGAGTTACTTGCAGTATTGCTAATATTTTTTTACTTTGTGTGAAAGAGACACACATGTTACTAGAGCCCTTTTACCAACAAAATCATGGACCCTCAAGCAAAACATGGCAAAAATAATTTCAAAAAAATATCTTAAATTTAAATGACTGCAGGGTTCATGTTTCTTACTATTTGGATAATTTTGGAATTAAGAATAGTTTATTCCATGGTGTATAGTGTCTAATACTTGACTTTGTTCTTTAGATTTTTTTTATACTTGTAACTTCTCATTATACATCTTATGAGATTGTAGTTGTAAGCCCAGGAATACATAATTTTTTGTATATCTTAAGGTTTATTCCTAACTTGGTGATTGCTGATTGGTAGAGGTTTTTTAATAACCTTGAAATCAGTTAAAGTTTGAGCATTTTTATTATTTTAATTTCAATTCCTAATTGTTTCCTACTGCTTTTAAGAGGTCATAAATAGTTATTTTGTAAGGCTTAGCCATGATCTGATTTATTTTTGTGCACTATTAATAATATAATGATTATGACTACAGTTTTCAAAATTTTTCATTCAGTGAATTAGAAAATTTTATTAAATGGTTAATTTGAAAATTTAATTTAAATCTAATTACTTAGTTTTATTTTTGAATCCAGTGTTTTTAAAATTACTAGGGTAACCCAAGTCATTGGTAATAGAGAGGGAATTTTGGTTACACGTTCTTTTTAAGACTAACACATTTGTTTTGTTAAATATCAATGTTTGTTTTCTGTTTCAAGACCTATTATCAAATTATTCTTGTGTAACATTTAGATGATTTTTTTTCTTTCCTTATTTGTCTAAAACTACAATGGTAAAGTGAATTTATGAAGTTACTGAAAATTAACATTATCAAAAAAGTATTTTATATTTCTGCATCACTAAAAAGTTTTTATATAGACACACACAATATTATACAGTTATGACTGCTCCCTAAACTGCTGCGATACTATAACTGTCTAGATAGGTTTCAAGATATTAATATCTTCATTTCTGAGATCTATATCAATAAATTTACAATTACTCAAAATTCTTTCGTATAATAAATGCCTTTTTGGATCTCCATCACTTTTGTGTGTGTGAGAGAGAGAGATATCAAATCAGTGTTGTCTCTTTTTTTTTTTTACTTTTTTGTGCTGTTGTTATTGTTGTTTTTCTAGTGTAATATTATTCTTGTGATTTCTAATTTAAAAATATTCATAACTTGAACTTAAACATCTTTCTTTCCATAACAATCATTGGGTTTGCTTGTGTCAATAATAGAGTGACAGCTTGGGTAGTGAAGCCAAAGAATTTTCACAAGAACTGTTGCCTGTTGTTCTTCAGCTGGTAGAGATGTACTCTACATGTATCAGGTATTGATATTTGTTTTTATAGTGAAATACAAATATAGTCTTGTTTTTAATTCTTCTATTTTTGTATTTAATATTTTCAAATTAGTAGTGATTTACAAGATGTGGAAAGCATATATGAAAATAAATATTGGAAGATCGGATGAGCCAATTCTGTTTGTTGCATAAATGTTCTTGTACTGACAATGAACTTAAAACTAATTTAAATTTATTTTGACTTGTAGCACTATAAAGAGTGCTGGGTTTGGGTGATATTTTGATGGATGTGTCGCTGACTGCAAGAGAGTGAGGAAATCATGGAAAGTGATTGTTACTGTATAAGATTCCTTGTAAGAGAAATGTAAAACTAGGTGTATTTTATAAGTGCAATCCACTGAAGTAGTGAAAATAATGTCGAAGTTTTACACATTCTCCCTGATGATTGAAGAATGTTACAATAATGTTTTTTTCAGTTTATTTTGGAACAGTAATTACAAAAAAGGAATTATGATAGGAATAAGGCATGAGGAAGTCAGTTTAGACTTGCGATGCTAACCCGTTATTCTCCCGTGTAGATGAAACATTGGGCTGGGGTCAAAAGGTTCTTGCAAATCTTTTAACAGTTAAGATATGTCAATTTTCAGCTTTTGATGAAGGCAGAAGACCTTGTATCCGATACTTCAGAAAACATTAAAGGAGCCAAATAGGGATAGTTAATATTGGCTTTTATTCACTTGTAAAAGTATAAAAATTTAAATTTCTTACAGAATATAATAAAAATCAAAACCATTTGTGTATATGATTTATTTGTCTAATACACATGGCAGATGGGATGTGGTGTATAATTACTACAACCAGTTTCATGAAGAGAAGCTTCAAATTTGGATAACAACTTGTGTAGATTGACATTTAGAAATTAATAAGAATTTTTCATGGCTCTCACCAGATGGAGCCTTTTACACCAGATGAGTCAGAACTCAAGTAATGACACAAGTCCTTCAACTAGAACTCTTCAAGCCTATGACTTGGTGTTGCGAATGTCTTCTAGTCAGTGTGCTAAGATCTCCAGTTTTGCTCTAGCTATTGCTGGATATCTACCTGCATCTCTGCGAGGTATTTTGGACAAGTGGAACTCTTGCAGTGTGGCTTTGTGCAACTGGGTAACTGTTTCATTTTTAAAATGGAGATTTGATTGGTTCTTTTGTAATTACTATTTATACTGAATGAGTACGTTATGGCACTATTCAATCGGATTCAAGACTAGTTACTAGATTAATGATTAAGAAAAAAACTACTTGATCAACTAGTAAGCTTTTAATTTTTGTAATAGAATTATATAAAGTCATACATTCCATTCATTATATGTATTTGTAAGCAACTATTGACTATAGATTAAAGTTGTTTTTTTTATCACTCTTGCCAAATTTCAGTATCTTAACCCTTTTCAGTCCATTGGCATTATTTTGGCCACTTCTGCATTTGCATTTTAAAAACTTAACTTTGAAGTGAAGCTATATCTGAAAAATATACACTTCAAATAAACTTTCAAACATGGTTATGCGATTTTGTGTGTGTGTAAATTTGCAATTTATAATTATGTAAAAACTGCTGCATGACTAAGTGTATAATATTCCCTTAAGCAACATGCTTATTAATCCTTGGCCAGTAAAATAGATATTCTTTATTTCACAGTATCATCTTAATAAAAATCAACTCTATAAAATATTTAGAAGTTATATACAACTGTTTCAAAAAGGGCCTTCCAGCTAATCTTTAAGCTCATGCAAGGTTGAAGACCACCATAACATACCGCATTAGTGTCAAATTACAAGTGGAAGTTTTTGTACAGCAAAAACAAACTGCAAAAGTAATTACTTCAACAGAATAAATAATCAGGGAACCAATAGAATTAACTGACCAATGTAACATGAGAAAAAAATGAAGTGATATAATTGGATTATCCGACAACAACAGTTTTCGATAGTCCGTAACGTTCAAACCGATGCTACCGTGTTTAACTGGCTCCCACACTATAAAAATGGAAACCACATTACCGACTATCGGACGGTCTCTGCCTCAATAAATGCTTACGATGTAATAAGTAAAGCTTGGAAATTTGAAATCAAAGTAATAAAATAAAAGAACTCTACAGCAAATAGACTGAGAGCAAGAAAATAATCACATGATATTTTTCATGATAACATTAGCTTTATTTCAACAGATTCAGAAATCCAGTTACATGCTAGTATTTGTAATTTTTTTATTTAGTTAGAAGTAATAATGTATGTTTGTAAAACTGATATAATTTTAATGTTTTTGATATTAGAAGGACTATATATATATCCCTATTACATTTTTAATTGCTGTTTTCAAACTAAACCTTGGGCTGTACTTTGTATTTTTGTGTATAAGATACAGTGGTGATAATTTTCACAATTGTATTTTTGAAACAGTTGTATTTTAACCCTTTTTGCTGAGAGTAGGCATAATTTTCATAACTTACTAGATTACATTAATATATATTTTCTCAGTGTATTTTTTTCTGTATAATCAGTTTGGTTTTCTCAAATAAAAAATTAGATATATTAATATAAAAATCCTATTTTTCTAAGATACCACTCTTATCTGTCAAGTGAATTATAAGTAGTTAAGATTTTATCAAATGTAAGCATTTAAACAACAAAATTAGAAGACAGTCCTAAACTGCAAAATATTTTTTTTACCTATACTTGCATCAAAAGTTTATTGTTGTACTGATGGTAATTTGTTTAATTTTTTTAGCGGAATGATTTTACTAAAGATGTCATCCCTTCCGAAGGCTATGTTTGTACAGTAACAAACTCCCACATTTCAACACTTTCTGGTAAGATATTTGTCTGTCTTTATTATTAGTATCCTTATTATTTAACCTAAATGTTGAATGTTTTTAAAAATTGTCTAATTATCATATTTCATATTTAGTTCTTATAGGTTATTATAATTAATGTGTCATTTGAATTACAAACAATGTTTTCTAATTTCTTACATTTTCTTGTTATTTCTACATATTTTCTGTGTTAATCTGAATAACGTACTTTTATGTGATGAAATTTGATTGAATGGATGGTATATGCCTGTTGTAAAAACAGAAGTATTGAGGACACCGTTTCCAAAGTCTTTCGTCTCTTATCATCAGGTCCTGAAGATTAAAGGCAGAAGTCTTTTGAAATGCCATCCTCTATACTTGTATTTCTACAACAGGCAGTTGCTGTCAAATCAGTGAAGTTTTATTATGAATACTCTGCCCAAATAATCTATCAGAGAATGTCCTTGTACATTTTATGTTTGTAGTATTTGTTTAATATAATGATTATATATAGTTATTATCATCATTAGTTATTCTTGTTCTTGTTTGTCAGTGACTCTGGTAAATAGCTGGTTGTGTATTTATTGTAATATAGTAGCATCAGTACATTTGTACTGTTGTGTTTTGACTGACTACAAAATCATGAAGAATCTTGTATTTTGAGTAACGAAAGTATCGTGTTAAAATAAATAAATAAATGAATTGAAGCTTTAGAAAATATTATTCACAAGTTTATGTCTTCCTTTTCATTTACTGTAATATATATTTATTTTCTTTTACGTAGAGTATGCTGCATTTACAACTAACCCTAACACAAAACGCTTACTACGTCAGCTTGTCAGATTTGCCGGAGACCTGATGATGTAAGTTTCTTTTTGTTTAATGTTAGAAGTCTAACAAAATGTTGTTGCAGTGGGAAAGAGAGATTGAATTTTATCTGTGGTAAATGTTGGTATACTAATGAATAAAAAAAACAAAAAATGTAGTTTCTGATTTTATAATACAAGTATGAAGAAACATATTTTAGATTTACTTGTGGGGTTATGAGTTTGTTGATTATAGGGTGTGTAATCAATCACTGTATGATCTGACAAAGAGCACTAGCTCACAACATCATCCTTCTTTATATTTAAATATCAAAAACTTGGCAGTTGTTCAACCAATTATTAATTTTGATATTTTTGTCGCCTATGCAGTTTTAAGTATTTGTCTTATAAATCAGACCACAGAAATGCCACCAATATTGCAAGTAATCATATGTAATACTGCTGCTGGGGTTCCCTTGTGTGGCTTATGTAGAAATTCAGCAATATCAACATGCTGTTTTCATCAGTTCTCTGCACTGAACGTTATAACAGGTAAAAATATAAATTTATTTAATATGACGAAACAAGTGACCCCAACCACTAGTGAATGATATAAAAATAAGTCCAAAATTATTTGACAGTTAATAATACAAATGTCACATGTGATATTGAAAAACATTAAGGATTGTCTGCATCTTGTGTTTATAAGATCTAATAAATCAATATTACCTTCTGATCATAGCAAGCTACCTATGTGAATCAGAAATTAAAATAACCCAGTAAGGAATAGAACTAACTCAACACAAAGATATGGAACCCTATGTTAAATTCAAGTGCTTTTAAAAGGTGGGAATATAGCTAATTTAATATTCTGTTCTTACGTTGTTACTTACAATGATTCAACTACGTTATTTCACAGGTTGGGTACCTTTACTATTAGTGATATTTTTGTTCATAATCTTCGTAATATTTCACATGGTTCTGCCAGCTTGAGAGGCTTTGGTTAGTCCTAAATCCATATAAGCTAACAGTGTAAAATAACCTTTCAAATGAAAAGATAATGTATTAATAAAAAATAAATTGGATATCTTAAACATTTTAACCTGTACTGTGGAGTGATATTGAAGAAAGAGTAGAGTGTAACTTACTTACAGAACACACAGAAAAATAATGGTTTACTTTATGCACAATCAAAGATTTCATGTTCCTTGAAGAGTCTGACATCAGTATCTTAGAAACATCTTCTGACTAACGAAGGCCCATTAAATGGTGCCAATATTATGACTTTCGAGCAGCTTGACATCTGAGAAATTATTTGCTACAACTTAACAATAGTCAGTTTAGCAGGATGGAATGGAGAGTATGGCAAACACTTATATTTATAAATATAAGTTAAATGAATAACAGAGTCATACAATAAAAAGTAAAAATATTGATACTCAGATTAAAATGTAATGAAAGAAAGAGAGTACAAATATATCGTGAGGTTTGTCTAACACAACTTTGGAACTAACCCTTGTCAGTTTACAACATACATGGAGTGGGCAGCTGGAAATAATAGATAAAATTAAACTGTCATTAGCAGCTGAAGAGCATGTGTGATAAGATTTTAGAAAACTTACAGTAATAATAAGAATATGAAAAGTAACAATAATGGTAAATATGATGAAGTGTTAGAAAAGACTAACGTATCTCATAGTGTAACATTACTGTGAGATGTAACTAATAACGTAACGTTATGGTGAGATGTAACTAATAACGTAACGTTATGGTGAGATGTAACTAATAACGTAACGTTATGGTGAGATGTAACTAATAGTGTAACATTACTGTGAGATGTAACTAATAGCGTAACATTACTGTGAGATGTAACTAATAGCGTAACGTTATGGTGAGATGTAACATTATTGTAAAAGCACAAGTACTTTGTTATACTTCATATGTAATACTTACTGATTTTTAACATTTTTGTACACTCTTGTTTGGTACAGCTGGTGCCCAGATAACTTTCGTACGCAACAAATAATTCGATCTATGTTGCCACTTCTGCTGGATTCCACCACAGAGTCAGTTAGTGAACCAGTAAGTTCTAGTATACAGTTTCTATAAAGAAAAGTTTTTATGTATGTGTGTGTGTATATATAAACTTTAAAAAAAACAACAAATTTTGTTATACCAAGAACCAGTGGTAAAAGTTTCTACTTTTCATGTTTATTTAGATAATTTTGAATTCTGATACAGTAGTTTATATTACTGTTATGTTTCTAGGCTACTCTAGCTTTGGATCGTTTTATCGGTTCTGCAGACAGTGAGGAATGTTTGCCATACATCTACCAAGAAGTGTTGGCTAGAAGTTATGACCTTCTAATTGATTATTCTTCAGGAGTGAGGTATGTTCTTGTAACATTGGTAACGGTGAGTTTTTCTTCATAAAAAGAATCTTGTATTGTCTGAGACAAAGACTACAATGCAAGAGTCTGCATTAAAAAGTTTGTGCTTGAAGACATTTTTGTTTAATCTATCATGTAAACAGGGAATGATTCACAAAATTGTTAACTAGTAATCTGTTAATACTTACATAATGTTACAGAAGGATCGTTGCTTTCAATGTAGTTTTGTCACATATCAACACTGTTTTCTATGGGTTGCAGTTCATTTCCTCCTATGTCTTTATCTTCCATATTCAAAAAGAATTACCAGATTATTAATCACTTCATAATAGTTAAGTTGTTACATAAGTAATAAGAATATTCAATACAATACTTGTAAATTAAAAATCTCGTTTCTGAATAAGTAAAATTATTGGCATTGTTCTTTAGATCTACGTTTGTATTCTCATATTTTGAACTTTACTGTCATACATTAAATAAATTATTTTTTTTATAGCCAGTTGGTAGGTTATGAATTTAACCTTTCAAAAGTTATCAATCATGTTATCCCAGAAATTTGTGAATTATAAAATAATCTGTAGTATTGCCATACTGCCTCCAGGTGGCTCAATGGTAAGCCTAAGTTTTTAATGCTAAATTTCTAGATTTGATCCGCTGAGTGGGCACAACACAGATAGCTCATTATGTAGCTTTTTGCTTAACAACAAATCACAACATTTTTTCTAAGTTTGGAAGCAGAGAGGAATTTTACTGCAGATGCAAAATTGGCAAGCAACAGTATCATATTTGATAAAAGACTGCTTTAAATAATTACAAAATAAAACTGTTTTTAAAGTGAAAACACAATATTTAGTTACATAACCATTATATTGTGTGAACTCATAAAATAAAAAAAACTTAACTTTCCCAATTTCAAATATGTGACTTTCATTAGGTGATAAAAATATCTTTTACGTTACTCAGGGATTACTGAAATTATGAAATAGAATCCCATATAGAATGAAACTAACAACTGACTGAAATAATATTAAATTACATATAGCGACATTGCCCTCATGTTTGTTTGTTTGAGTGTGACTAAAAGTGGTTGACATTTTTCTGATCCAGTTAGATTCAATATTAAAAAAAACGAAACCTTTTGTTCAAACTCAATTTTGAGTGGCTTTCCTTAGTTGTTACATTTAAACAGGTCCATGACCTTCAACAAGAAACTAATGGAAGTTATTCTTATACATCTTGTGTTGTTTAACAATGAAGTGATAGTGTGGTTTCACAGGTGTTGTAGTTACGGTAATCAGTGCTTTCGATTAATTACTAACAGAAATCATTTTCTTGTTTTCTAGGTTGTGTTTACAAATGTTTTCTATAGTAAATGTATAGACTAGCATTATTATGTTATGATCTGATGTTTAATAATTAAGGAACCAAAGTACTTATGGTTGTTTCTTACCTAAATATGTTATAGTTAGAAATACAGTTTAAATTGTATTTTGTTCTTATTATTATATTTTAGTTAATTATTTATTAGTTATGTTTTAAAATGCATAATTAAAATGTTTAAATATACATCATACTGTTCTCAAGGCTTACGATATTACTCGCTAAATGAAAATTTTTGCCAAATGGTCGCGCATATCTCCCAAAGAAACTGTAAACGCCTGAGGTCACTGTTGACTTGTGTTGAGATGAATAACAAGTTATGAAACATAAGCAAGGAAAATAAAATATTAAAAATTAACTATGTGAAAAAGGAAAAGACCTGTAATTATGAATTTCACAAAAGGAAACTTTTTAAAGATATTCTCCAAATATTAAAAGGTATGTTTTGTTTTCTAATTTTAGTTATTTTGTTGCATTTTATGTTGATGATAAGAGCTAAAGTTAGTGATATGGTAGAGAAAATGAAAAATAAAATATAAAAATTTACCTTAAAAAAAAAACTTTTGATATCCTTTTAGGAGGTTCTAGAGATTGTGGAAATTAAAATATGAAAACTGTAAGATGAAGAAATGTATGTTTATACATAAAATGAAAATCACTTTGTACTCTATTTGTTAATAGTTTGAATGCGAGTAACTGCAATAGAAAAATAATATATTTTTTGTAACAATAATTATAAAACTGTTATTATTTGTGTGTAAGATACTTCTGATCTTTTAACTGGTCTTGGATAGGATACGTCAAGAAATCTCAATTACTGCATGTATTGTGGTACAATTGAAATTCATGACTCTATTTCCACAAATTGCATGAGCCTGCCCTGAAATGGTTAATTAAAATTCAAAGAGATTTTAAAAATGTAATGTCTTTTTTTTTTTACCAAATGTTTACCTTCAGGTGTAAGAAGCAGTATGATGATTAGTGTTAGCAGATGTTTCCCATAAATACATCTCACTTTGTCAAAGTTTACAAATTTTTCTGATGTGTACCATTTGATTGTCAGTCCGTTTCATAATTCTGTCTGTGTTAATGTCAATACGGTGGATAGTGATTTGTATATTTTAATGTTAATACTAATTAAATTCATTGAATTATTTTTGTTCTAAATTTACTTATCTGTTCTAGTGAGGTCGATGAAAAGATATTCCATGAATGTCTGAAGTTTATGGAAGGATTATTAGATAAACAAATGGGCAAAAAAGCTTTAGAAAAATTCTTCACTGAGAATCCAGAAAAGGGTAATTTTTTTTTAATTGTTTCAGGATATGGGAAATTAAAGAATTGTTACTTTTTTTTTATGTTTAATCTAAAAATATCCATTTTTATTCTAGATCTGATTTTGAGGTTTTTTGTATTTTATGGAAATGTTATAACAAGGGATAGCTTGTATATAAAATAAAGAACTGAAATAAAATTATAACTTACACACATTTTAATCAGCAAATCAAAAAGAAGAAATGGTCATATACAATTACATTATGTAGATTACATGAAAGTTTTGGACAGAGTCTATTTTAAGAAGCTAATTTATTATTATGTCTTTATTATACTCCTTGATAGTTTTGGGTAGAGTCTGTTCCTGTGTTTATTCTAAAAAGATAATTTGTTGTTATGTCTTTATAATACTCCCTGAAAGTTTTGGGTAGAGTTTGTTTCTGTGTTTACTTTAAAAAGGTAATTTGTTGTTATGTCTTTATAATACTCCTTGAAAGTTTTGGGTAGAGTCTGTCCCTGTGTTTATTTTAAAAAGATAATTTGTTGTTATGTCTTTATAATACTCCTTGAAAGTTTTGGGCAGAGTCTGTTTCTGTGTTTATTTTAAAAAGGTAATTTGTTGTTATGTCTTTATAATACTCCTTGAAAGTTTTGGGCAGAGTCTGTCCCTGTGTTTATTTTAAAAAGGTAATTTGTTGTTATGTCTTTATAATACTCCTTGTTAGTTTTGGGTAGAGTCTGTCCCTGTGTTTATTTTAAAAAGGTAATTTGTTGTTATGTCTTTATAATAATCCTTGAAAGTTTTGGGCAGAGTCTGTTACTATGTTTATTTTAAAAAGATAATTTGTTATTATGTCTTTATAATACTTCTTGTAGATTTTAGTATGTTAATCAGTAATTTTTGTTCCACAGACATGATAAACATTTTGCTCTCAGCATCCAACGAGAATCTAAGTCCTACTTATGGTACTAGAGTACTGAAGTTTTTTAGCAAGTTATTTCAGCAAGGTTAGTGTAATAATGTGCTTTTCTATATTCTGTATTGTTTTGATTATTTTGATGCTTTAAGGTAAGTTTAGATTTTACCAAATTGATAAATATTCATACTAGTACTTTTAATATAAACATTTCTAAACCTTGTTTGACTCATAACTTGTATATTTCTAGATTTTATTTTTAACACAGTATAAGTATTTGCCAAGTATCTGAAGAGTGTCAAATTTAAACTTACAATAAATTCTTTTTATGACTATCTGATGTGTATAAGAGTCATCGTCATAAAATAAGTTCATATTTGTAAGAACTAAATTTAGATTTTCTAGTGATGTGTGAGAGAGGGAGAAAAAAAAAGTCAACCTTTTTTTTTTCACATTGCAGTAGACTAAATTTAGCTTGAAGAGTAGCCAAAAGCTATGTCACAGAACTTTTAAGTAATTTGGTCAAAATTGTGTACTTTTTTTGTTAACACCTGCTACACGAGCCAGCTTAGCATCTTTTAGTACTGAGTCTAGGGTGATCTACAGGGAGAGTCATACCAGAAACTGGTGGTTTAGTTATTTCAATAGATCTCAATGAATGAAGCTATGCACAACTCCTAAAATGAAGAGAAAAAAAAACTAACTAAATATTAATGAAAATACGACATGATGAAATCTATATGGATTATACTATGGTGGTACCATACTGGGCATTATACCATCCTTCTTATATTTACTCTTCATTGCAGAAATGGCATTTTTAATTTGAGAATCACTAGGGAAGTCATCGTGTAATGCATCTGCTTCAACTTCAACACTGTATCTTTGGGCTCTACTGTGCTGTCACTAGTTTCACAAAATATTGAAATTAATGATGTCATATATGATTCCAATCCCCCCCCTTTTTTTTTTTTAAGATAATGATACTCTTGTGTCCATTGTTTTATGTTTTGCTGTCAATGCAGTAATCACTTGACGAAGCTCTGATTCAGCTGGTATTTCAAATTGATTGGGATATTTTCAAATAAGTTCTTCCCTCATCTGACCTGGACCCACAATTTAGCTTAATTGCTACACTTAAACCATCACATTCACAACCACATTTAGAACATTTCAAACATGTTTGTTTGCTAAATTGTTTTACTTTACATTTAAAAGTTAACTTCTCATGGTTTTTGGGTCCAGTCACAGGTCTAGTTCAGCGATGTAGACCTCAAACATAGTTTCCAATGTCTTCTTTTTTATCCAATCAAAATAACCCAAACCTTTCTTGAATGTCTCTTTTGATCCTCAACAAGATGTCTGGCTGGCTCGTGTGGCAGGTGTTAACAGATGAATAAATTATGTTATTGCATAATTAAATTTTATATGTATAACTCTGGTGTTTTCACTTATAAATCAGCCTAGAAATTGTCATTATTATCATGTCAAAACAAAACCAAAAAAAAAGTACTTTTAGATATTGAGGGTATTTAATGAATCCACTCAGTGGAGAAAAACCCATCGGACAAGACTTTGGAAAAGCTGTGCTCGACTCTTAGCAAGATGAGCAAGCTGAGTAAACTTGACACCTCTGCACTTCACCACTGGTTAGAGAAGATTATATCTGGAGCTCCCTCTCAGGTTTGTCTGAAACTTTTACTTCCTGCATAACAAGAATATGTCAAACTCGGGTTGAGACAAGGTTTTAGTTTAAAGTATTTATTATAAAGCAGTGTAAAAAATGTCTGAATATTTAAATCAAGCAACTATCTTTAGAATTCTGCTTTTGTAGTAGACACTTTAACATACCTTACTTCTCAGTTAAACATTTCTTTCATAAACTGATTTTATTTGTAAATGTTATGTGAATTAAAACAATATGGTTAAAGCTTAAATGTGTGTCTCTTCTGGCAGCTCGAAGGAGATGAAGGAAGCATGCAGGAAAACAGATTGTTGCTACAAAGTCTTACATCATACATTGTGAAAGAAAACAGGTATGGATATTCAGTTGTCATTTACATGAGGCCCTAGGCTATTGCAGTTTTACCAATTGATTTTTATAAAATTATCTGAGAAAGTATTAAGAATCTTTTAAGAAAATGTTTATCTCTGGACATGTATGGGAAATGTATGATCCAGTATATGGTGGCAAAAATATTTTTTTATGGAGGACACACGGTGCAACCGATACACACTTATTAAACACGTGAAATATTGTACAAGAGCTTCATGCTTTATCGAACACTGAATGGGATCCTTTATGATACACAAAATCCAGTTGTCACTAACTTAAAAGTTGTTTATTTTTATTCATAAATGTATGCAGAAACTTGAGATTTCATTACATAATACTTTGTGCTTTTATTAGAATCCTAAAAGAAAAGAGTTGGTATAATCTTTGTTCTTTTGGCAGTGCTGTTGGAGAAGAAGTAGCTAATGCCATCCTTTCAGCCCTTATACCAATGGGATCTAAAATACTTTCACCAGCATCTGAGGGTATTGGGTTTTCAGAGTTGATGGTTGTTATGGCAACATTAGCAGGAGCAGGATCAGGATCGGGCCACTTGCAACTCTTCAAAGCTGCAACTGGTTGGCTAGAGCTCTGGTGAGACTTAGATAAGGTTTATAGGTTTCTCTAAAAATGCATTTAGGTTTTCAATAAGGTAGTATTCAGTATTGATTTTTTTACAAATAATGTGTAATACATGTATGTTGAGGTAACAAATGTAGTTAAATATGGGTTTATTTTGGAGTAGAAATACTACTTATCAAAATTTCTATAATGCCAAGTAATTTTATTGTTAACAACAAATTTTCTTGTTATTTTTTGTGATAGTTTCTATAATATTAAACCTTTTCTGTATACAGAAAAGAAAATATGAAGTTTTTTTTTTCTTTTCTTTTTTAATTAGTAAGAAATACCTTGTCCAAAAAGATGTTTTAGAAAAACTTGAAGACAATGTGCCAGGAGGCAAGGTAAGTGCATTTATGAAGAAGTTGTGTGCAATGATCAAGAAAATTACATTTTTTATTAGTGTTATTTTATTTATACAATAAAGAAATGTTTTCCAGAATAATAAAAGTATATTTATTATTATTATTTTTTACTATGGTAAATTTAAATGAGTTTTTTTCATCATCAGAAGTGTTTAATTAGAACATTGTTCTTCTGTGCTTTTATATTGTTTGAGTCATTCACAATTTCCCATTTCCATGAACATATAACACATTTATTCGTACCCCTAAAATGGCAAAAGTTTTTAAGAGAAATATGAAACATCAGCCTTTAAATGTGGGCTACAAGGACACAGAAATGAATTAAGTTCACAAAATTTACCAAAGTTATTGCTGGTCAAAACTTGACAAATGTTTATTTTATTAACATAATTTTTAAAATTGATTAAAAATTACAAGAACAACAGCTTTTATAATAGTCAAATTCTGATTTTAATAATTACGGTTATTGTATTTTTTGAATTAATTATTCAGTTCAGTGGCTTCTTACCCTCTCCCTTACAGGTTCTTGTTAAAATAACACTTCTGCAATGATGTAGAGGTATAATACTGAACAGGTGTGAACCCAATGAAAGGTGGTTATAGATTATTCTTGAAAGTATAATATCTAAATACTTCGATTTTAATCTTAATCCACATCTGCTGAAACAAAAGACACTATATTAAAATATTTGTTAAGTAGTGAGTAATTGTTTATACCAAACTACTAAAAGAAAAGTACTTTGTATATTCTACATGGGTAGAATCAATTTTTGTGTAATAGTTTTATGTATTATTATGATCTACCTTACATCTGGTTAAACGTTGATTCTAATTTTTTTCAGGTGACATGTGTTGTTAGGATTAGGAAATATAGTTTCAGAATTGTTAGGCAACTACTTACATATTCACTGATTTATCTGTTCCTATTGTTAGCATCAGGTCAATATTTGAATCTTGCTTCTGTCCTACTCAGTCAACAATGTACTTTTAGTATTGTTGGGTTATTGTGCATTTATAGAGTTATTTTTATATATTCTTAGCATCAGATTATGATGGAGTCCACCTGCTATCTGCTGTCCTACTTAGCTGATGTTGTTGGAGCTTTAAAGATGCAAAATGAAAGGTAAAACATTGAAAAAACTCTAATTTTTAACTATAATATTACCAGCCTAATAACCCATTAAATAAGACAGTATTTATTAGTTTAACAAAAGTCAATTTGTCAGTCCTTTATAGGGCCAGGTGGTTAGGGCATTCGACTCGCAATCTGCTGGTCTTGGGTTTGAATCCTCGTCCCACCAAACATGCTCGCCCTTTCAGCCGTGGGGGCATTATAATGTGATGGTCAATCCACTATTTGTTGGTAAAATAGTA